TGAGACAGTCTTGCTGTGTTGCCCAGGGCTGGAGTGGAGTGGCGCAACTCACTGCAACCTCTGCCTTCCGGGTTCAAGTGATTCTCCTGCCTCAGCCTACCGGGCAGCTGGGATTACGAGCACCCGCCACCATGCCCAGCTAATTTTTGTATTTTTAGTAGAGACGAGTTTCACCATATTGGCCAGGCTGATCTTGAACTCGACCTTGTGATCTGCCTGCCTCAGCCTCCCAAAGTGCTGGGATTACAGCCATGAGCCAGTGCGCCCGGCAGAAACCAGCTTTTCAAAAGTGCCTAGTAGGTTTATTATTAATATGTTAAGAGTGTCAGATAGGCTGGGCAACATGCTAAGACCTCGTTTCTACTAAAAAAGAAAAAATTTTTTTTATTTGAGACAGAGTCTGGAGTGTAGTGGCACAATCTCGGCTCACTGCAACCTCCGCCCCCTGAGTTCAAGCAATTCTCCTGCCTCAGCCTGCCCAGTAGCTGGGAATACAGGTATGCGCTACCATGCCTGGCTAATTTTTGTATTTTTAGTAGAGACTGGGTTTTGCCATATTGGCCAGGCAGGTCTCGAACTCCAGACCTCAAGTGATCCACCCACCTTGGCTTCCCAGAGTGCTGGGATTGCAGGCATGAGCTAAAAATTTTTTTTAATTAGCTGAGTGTAGTGGCACACACCTGTGGTCCTAGCTACTCAGGAGGGTGAGGTGGGAGGATTACTTGAGCCCAGAAAGTTGAGGCTGCAGTGAACTATGATCATGCCACTGTACGCCAGCCTGGACAACAGAATGAGACACTGTCTCAAAAAAAAAAAAAAAAACTAGAGAACCTTCTACAGGAATAGGTATGGAAGAAATTTTTAAAAATAAAAAGAGCGTCAGAGCAGGAAAGCCTTGTCTGTGGACTGCAACCCAACTGATGGAGCCAGTGGTAATTTCAGGTAATTTTAGCTTCATGTCATTTGTTATCTGTGCAAGGGTGTAAGATATCAGATGCCTATCTCACAGGAAAGGACAGGCCTTGTGGTGTCCCTCAGGACATAGGGCCTGCTCTTGGGTCCTCATGCAGGCCTCCACGGTTGTACTTTTTCTTATGTCTGCAGCATCCAGGATATTGCAATCCTCTTCAACATCATCATCATTTTCCTGATGTTCTTCAACACCTTCGTCTTCCAGGCTGGCCTGGTCAACCTCCTGTTCCATAAGTTCAAAGGGACCATCATCCTGACAGCTGTGTACTTTGCCCTCAGCATCTCCCTTCATGTCTGGGTCATGGTAAGACTGGAAGTCTGAATTCTTTTTTTAATTTGTATTTTAAACAGATGGGGTCTTACCACGTTACTCAGGCTGATCGTGAACTCCTGAGCTCAAGTGATTCTCCTGTTTCTGCCTCCCAAAGTGGTGGATTTACGGGGGTGAGCCACTGTGCCAGGGCTGAACTCTGAATTCTTGAATCCCTAAAAGGGTAGGGATATCTTTTCTCTGGGAACCCAGCTTCATTCTTTGACATCTGACATGATCCTTCATAGGAAACAGGTGAAATGAAAGTGGTCTGGGCTGGAGCTCTCGGCATGTGAGAGTTTCATAAGGTACTCTTGACTAACCTTATGTGTTGAAAAATAGCCTTGTCCAAGAGTCACGGGTCTCTTCCAGAACGTTCAGTTCACCTTTGCCCCAAACAGGCCTACCAGGGCTAAAACATGTAGTTGAATGTGTTTCATCATGAGCTATATGGGCAGGTGGATGTTGACACAGGTTATTCTTAGGCATCAGTGCCCCATGGTTAATTCTGCAGGCAGTGGATGTTTCTAGGAAGTAGCCAAGCAGGATTGCTGCTCACCCTTGAGTGTTCCCTGCCCTCTGCTGAGTTCCCATCACTTTAACTAGGAGAACCAACCTCCAAGATGCTTCCCTAGGCATCAGATCAGATCCAGTGTCCATGGTTTCAGATTTCTTCTGCTTCACAGATTTTTCCAGCCCTTTGGGTATCTCATATGTTTCTCAGGTTCTCATTTCAGTTGAACCCATTAAAACCTCAGGGTTCTCTAGTCACTTCATTATGAAAGCCACCTTCACACCCAAACCCCCTATTAGGTTGCGCTTGTGATTCTACAGAGAGAAGTAGAGCTCCCCAGAAACAAGCAGAGCAACACCAGAGTCTCTGGGTGCTTCCTCAAGAGGATTCTGTGCTTGGAGCCAAAATAGGTCCTGGCTTTATACTATAAAGCCGTTAATCTCATTAAACCCTGAGTCCCCCAAAGGCTTTATCTAACAGGAGCTGAGCCAGCGATTTTCCAGGCAAGACAGTGACCAGCTGAACTCCTGAGATAATGAGTATATCGTTTCTCCTTGGCAAAGGTTATGGAATGAAAGAGGATAAATAACTTAGTTCATACTTCCTCTCTCAAAGTTAGAAGGATATTCCCTTTGCAGCAAAAAAGGGAGCTTGACGCTCCTTCAAGAAACACTTGTTGGGGTTGTAGAAAGGAGGGAGAGGTTAGCACGATTTTAAACCAACTGGCATCTCTGCAGCTAACCAAGTTGGAGATATTGGGGCCTCATGTGGCCATTAACCTTTCTATGTCTCCTCATATCACCTTCAGAACTTACGCTGGAAAAACTCCAACAGCTTCATATGGACAGATGGACTTCAAACGCTGTTTGTATTCCAGAGAGTAGGTAAGGACCAGAGCAGGGTCAGGCCTCTCTTGGGTCCCACGTGTGTCTCTTTCACTGAGGGCCTTGATTCTGGCTTCCCAGCCCTGTCCCAGTTGGCCTGCAACGGTTGCAACAGCCACACTAGGAACAGGAGGGATTTCTGCCTCTGCCCGTGCTGGGAAACCATGGGAAGTCAGGAGGCAGGGCTGCTCAGCCTCATTAGGTTCTGTCTACCCGGAAGTGATACTCAGCAGCACCCCTGAGGCTTCTCTTCTGCTTCCTCCCGCAGCAGCAGTGTTGTACTGCTACTTCTATAAACGGACAGCCGTGAGACTAGGCGACCCTCGCTTCTACCAGGACTCTTTGTGGCTGCGCAAGGAGTTCATGCAAGTTCGAAGGTGACCTCTTGTCACACTGATGGATGCTTTTCCTTCCTGATAGAAGCCACATTTGCTGCTCTGCAGGGAGAGTTTGCCCTATGCATGGGTCAACAGCTGGACTTTCCAAGGAGGGTTCAGACCAGTTGTGTTCACCATTCAAAAAGGAAGATCCTCCCTCTTGCAAATTAGAGTGTTCCCCATCAGTCTCCAGTACAGCATCCCTTCCTTGCCTCCTCCCTCTGTCCAACCCCCTTTCCTTCCCTTCCTCTCGGTACCATTCATTTTCCCTGACCCTTCTTTCTTGCCGAGGGTTCTGTGGCTCTTACCCTTGTGAAGCTCGTCGTTTAGCCTGGGACAGAAGGAGCTCCCAGCCCCCACTTTCCTTGCACTACACACAAGTGACCAAAGGATGCGAAGAGTGAAAGTTCCGTGCTCCTGACCGATCCCACCGCAGACATTTAGATTTTTATACCCAAGGCACTTTTTAAAAACATTTTATAAAGAGAATAAATTGAATTCTTGTTCCGTAAATGGTGGAGCCTCTCTGTCTCATGGTTAAGAGGCGTGCCAAGGTCTAACTTAGCATCTGCTTGACCCAGAGGGAAGATTGAACCACAGATGAACTACAGATCTTAATTGAGTTCCATTATGAGTACAAAGTATTTCAGCAGAAATTCAAGATGGAATCTGATGCCACATCCCCCACTCTTGGAGTTTCAGATTTCTGTGCTCTGTTCAGACTCTCCTTATCAGAAGCCTTAACTGCCCTCAGAAGAATAAAAATATTCCTTAGCCAGTTTTGGCAAAAGAAATTCTTAAAATTCCTATGTTTATAGTATCAATCAGTTTTCTATCTCTTTTTCTTTTCTTTTTTTTGACAGATTTTCGCTCTTGTTGCCCAGCTTAGAGTGCAATGGCACAATCTTGGCTCACCGCAACCTCTGCCTCCCAGTTCAAGTGATTCTCCCACCTCAGCCTCCTGAGTAACTGGCTTACAGGCATGTGCCACCATGCCTGGCTAATTTTGTATTTTTAGTAGAGATGGGCTTTCTCCATGTTGGTCAGGCTGGTCTTGAACTCCCGATCTCAGGTGATCCGCCTGCCTTGGCCTCCCAAAGTGCTGGGATTACAGGGGTGAGCCACCATGTCCAGCTTCTATTTCTGTTTCTACTGTGTAACTGACCACCACCAAAGTTCAGGGGCACACAGCAATAAATAGCTGTCTGGCTCTCTAACTTGGGGTTCTGCTGACCTGGGCTGAGTGGGTGATTTCAGAGGGCTCGCTTGTGTGTGTGGTCAGCTGCCGGTCTGCTAGGTAGCTGTGATGGCCTTGGGATCCATTGGTGGTTGGCGAGCCTGCAGTGACCTCAGCTGGAGTGACAGGGTACTCAGCTCTGGTTGACAGGATTTGCCTCCTGCAGACGAGCCTGGATCTGCTCACACAACCATGGCAGAGAATGAGAAGAACAAGCCCCAGTATGCAACTACGTTTCAAGCCTGTGCTTGTATTATGTCTCTTAGACTTCTGAGCCCAGAAGCAAAGTGGGAACCACAAGTTCCTTTTTTTGTTGTTTTTTGAGATGGAGTCTTGCCATGTCACCCAGACTGGAGTACAGTGGCATGATCTCAGCTCACTGTAACCTCCACCTCCTGGGTTCAAGCGATTCTCCTGCCGCAGTCTCCGAAGTAGCTGGGACTACAGGCGCCTGCCACCACACATGGCTATTTTTTTTTTTTTTTTTTTTTTTGTATTTTTAGCAGAGGGGTTTCACCTTGTTAGCCAGGCTGGTCTCGAACTCCTGACGTCAAGTGATCCACCTGTCTCAGCCTCCCAAAGTGCCGGGATTATAGGCGTGAGCCACCACATCCGGCCCACCAACCACAAGTTCTTAGACTCTGCTATAGAAACTGACATGAGGCTAAAAGAGTTTGCCCAGACAAGGCTTCACTGGAGCTTAGGCCTGGGCATAAGGGACACAACGCAAGTGAAAGAGAGTTCCCTCACTGACTCCGGAGAAAGCCTGCAGGGATTTTTTTCTTAGGCAAAGCGCTGGAATTGACCTTGAGTTGGGCAGGTAGGCTGGGCTGGGCAAAGCACATGAGGGGTAGGGTGTGCAGCTCAGCATCTGGTTGTGAGGGTCATCTTGAATAATGGACTGCCAGGTGGTCTGGCCAATGGCAGCAAGTCTGTATTCTTTCCTGAGGAGGGACACTCCACACACAATGTTGGTTTGTTATTTTGAATCTCCTAAGGCCAGCTCCTGGAATTCTATTTT